CCGGGTGAGCTCGGAGCCCCCCGTCCGCCAGCCCGCCCGCACGCCCCATTGCGCAGATGGGGAAACTGAGGCCCCGCAGGGGACCGTGCCCCCCGGGTCGGGCAGTGAGTCAGCTGGAACCCGGTATTCCTGGCGCACGGCGGCCTCTAAGCGCCGCCGCCTCTCCCGAGCCGATCGAGTCCCCGCAGCGGGACGCATGGCTGCAGAGGACGCAGGACTGAGACGCAGGCCAGGTACCTGGAGGCCGCATGGAGAGCCACACTGGCCAGGGTTGGCTAGCTCTCAACGACCCCTCCGCCATCCGGGCTGAGCACCAACACGGTGGCCAGGTCACTAGGCTAAAGCTGACTGCGCTCTGCAGCCACGCGTGGGGTGGACATCATGACCCCCGAGGCCCGGAGACCCCTTATTCCCCAGAGATCACATAGCTAGGTGCCAGTGTGACACCAAGACTCCAGCTTCTGCAGTGTGCCAGGTTAGCACCCCTTTGGTTCAGGACAGTCAGGACCACCTCTGAGTGCTCCTCAGGCCCCCAGGGAGCAACCCCCCAACCCGACGGTCACCACTGGGGACTCCTGGGCCAGTCTTTTCTCCTCGGCTCCTTTTTCACATTTATAACTGGGTTAGAGCAGCCCCACATGGCAGAGTGGCCAGGAGCAGCAGTGCCCAAGGAGAGACAGTAGCCTGCACAGCTGGAACCGGGGCCGCGTGCCCTACCTGGGAACTGGTATCATTTTGGTCATTTTTGTACCATGATTATTACAGCCCTCACTGTGCGGGGGGCTCTGGGCCTGCCTCCTTCCGCAGTTCCTGCCCTCAAACTCAAGCCCCGGCCCTGGTCACCTAAATGTGTGTACACATGTAAGACATTCCCAGGCTCAGCCTGGTCCCCTGCTGTTGCCCTGAGTCCCTGGGGCTTGTTGTGGGACTTACCTGGAGAAGGGGGATCCGTCATGCCCCAGACACTGGTGGCAGCTGCTCTTCTGGGTGATGAGGGCCACCCGTGCCTTCCCTGTGCTGGGGTCTGCAGGTCAGAAACAGTGTGGGTTAGCGCACAGCCTTGGTCACCCCGATGTCCAGGGGCTGGGAACGGGGACACTGCGGGACCTCAGACCCTCCACCCCATGATGGCCCAAGCTGAAGGGCCTCCCAGATCTGCCTGCAGCCTGGAGGCAGACAGGGTTTCCTGTTGTCAAATGAGCTGTTGCCTCTTCCCCTGGGGTCCCTGGGACGGAAATTCGCTGTGTAGGCAGCCCAAAATTTCTCTGCAAAGCCCGGATGTGGGTGAGGGTCCTGCAGGTTCCCAAGGAGGGAAGGGCCCTCTTGTAGAGCCAGCAGCTGTGGGACGTCTAGCTTGGGTCTCATTTGGTGCATGGTAGCTGATGGGAAGGAGGGGACTCAGGTAGCTGGATAGGAGTCCCCAGAAAGAGGTCTCTCCTTCCTGCCCTTCAGCTGCCAATGCCCTGGACCAGGGGGCCCTGGAAGCCCCTGGCAGCTGGGCTGAGGGCAGCAGGGACTGCTGCTGCTGGCTGTCTATAACTGTGTAGGGGTCCTGCACTGGGCTTTAGATCTCCTGGCCCCCAAACCCAAGCAGGGAAGCCCTCGTCCAGCCCCAAGCAGTAAAAAGTTAAGAGCTAGCCCTAGGGGGACTCTGAGGGAGAGCTTTCCCCTGCCCCCATCCTGTCCCTGAAGCTGCGGGTCACTTGGCCCTTTGACCTCCCGTCTGAGCAGAAAGGGCAGCCTGGAGAGCTGGGTCAGCTTGTCCTTCCTCTGCCTCACCTTCTGCTTCCTCATCTAAAACATGGGCAGTCCTCAGACAGTCAGACTGCTGGTGTGGATGCCAGACTACCGAGACTACAGGCGGCCAGGGCTGGGAAGGCCCCCACTTCAGCTTGGGGCTTTGGGTGGGGACTTGGGCTGCTCTGGGTGGGGCAGAGAGAGGAAAGACAGGGCTTCCCCCAGGGTCCAAGGGAGGCCAACAAAGTGCCCACACCACACTGCACCAAGCTGACCCTCTGTCTGAGGACCCCAAGGCCAGGCCAACTGAGCGGGGGCTCCTCCTGTTCCCCAGTTCAGTGCCCCAACGGGCACACCTCATCCTGGCTGCAGATTTAGCTTTGGCATTCCCATCTCCCCGGGAGTGCTCACCCACCCTTAAGGGATGCCCTCAGGACGCCTGGGTCTGAGGAGGGGTGAGGGGTGAGCTGAGCTGAGCTGGGCTTTTTCCGGAAGCAGAGCCAGAAGGAGGGGAGCCAGGGGAAGGGCACCAGCTGCACGTGCCTTCTCCTTCCAGAGTCACAGCGGCTGCCAGGCCACCCAGGGGTAAGCGTTGGAGTCGGTCAGGCCAAACCAGAATCCAGACTGGGCCACCCACCAGTGGGCACCCTTAGCCTAGGGACTGAGTGTCCTCTGCAGTGGCGATGGGACCAATAGAGAGGACAATGAGATGGCACCAGAGAGCAGTCTGGAGCACAGGCGAGCTCAGCCAACAGGTGCAGTGGTCAGGGGGAGCCTAGGGGTGCTCACCCCACTCTGCCCGCTTCCTGCCCTTCCAAGGCCATTCCCGCCATACCTGATGCTGCCTGGGCCCCGGCTGGGCCATGGCCACCACCACTGCCTCCTCGGCCCGGGGTGCACCCACCCCTCGCCAGCGCCAGCGCTGTGAGGCACCCTCTGAGGCCGCCTGCTGACCTGCCTGCTGGAGCCTCCACCTGGGCTGTGCATGCTGGACAGCGGCGAGGGGCAGGGAGGCTCCACACGGGCGAGGAAGGGCGGCTTTTTATGCTCCCTCCGTGTAAATCGGGATTGGGATGGGCCCTTCCAGGCCGGACTTCCTGTGTGTGTTCTCCGCTGATAACGGGATCTGTCAGCACACAAACAGGAGGCTGAGGGCCTGCTGGGGGGCCGTCGAGGGAGGGGCCTGGCTGAGCTGCAGGAGGGGTGGGGGACCTGTCCCCCCTGCTTCAAAGTCTAACCCTGAAGCAGCCAGAGACCATGCTCTGGACAACCACAGCCCGCCTGGTGACCCAGGACCCAGCTGGTCCCACGAGGTGCGATGGAGGACGTGGCTGGCCTCAGGGCCTTCCCAGTGCCGTGCGTCCACCAGGCTTGTGGGACCACAGGCCACATTAGAGTGACTTCACAGAATGGACCCTTGATTCTGTGACCCTGGACTCTCCCCCAGGGCATGCAGCGGCACCCCGATGTGTGTGCCCGGAGTAGGAGCACAGACAGAGAGAGCTGGGGAAGGGCAAGGAGGCTGGGTGGTCTGAGAACAGCCTGTTCTATGGGCCCTTGGAGCCCAGAGTGGCGGGGGTGGGGTGGGGTGTTGACAGGGAGGGGAAGACATCAGCTCAGGGCCTTCTCTAGGTCCCCCCTGGAAAGGGCTGCTCCTGGGGCATTGAGCCCCCTGCTCCTGGAGGTGTGCTAACCGGGTGAGAGCCCAGCCTCCCTGCATGGGCTGTTCTCCTGGGTGCAGCATGTTCCCTGGCTCTCCTCTGTCCCTCAGCCTCCGGCAGGCTGAGAGGTGCAGGGCCAGGAGTGGGAGTGGAGGAATGCAGGAGACTTTAGGTGGCCAAAGGGGGTGCTTCCTCAGATTGGTGGGTGGTCCAGCCCCCAGGTCTGGCCCTCAGGTTCCTCGTTTAGGAGATGCTGGGGCCTTGCAGGCCGAGCATCAGTGACTGTAACGGTGGATGACGGATGTCCAAGGGGAGCTGGGCAGCTGCTGAGGACCTGCCCAGACCACACAGTCAGCCAAGGGCCTCTGGGAGAGCCGGGCCAAGCCAAAGCATGGCTGTCCTTGGGCACGAGCCCTGCTCTGAGCCTGGCCTTGAGCCTCTCCACTCAACCGCACCTCCCCCCAGCTCAATGTCCTGGCCAAGAGGGAGGTGGGAGCCAAGAGGGAGTTTGGGAAATTCCCCACTGGAATGCTGAGAGCAAGAGGGGGTCTCAGCCACGCTTGGCAGGTCTCAGCAGTTAGCAGGGACCTGCTCCCCTCCACACCCTCATGGCCAGGAAGAATGGGCACAGGCCTGCAGTCAGGGTTCTGGGGCTCCTCCTCTCTGGGTCTCAGCTTCCCTATATGTTCCACGGGGATGAGAGAGGTGCTGGCCACCAGGGTTGTTATGACAGCCCAGGTTCCTGGGACTCAGGTGTTGTTGGTCTGAGTGGCGAGAGGGCCTGAGGTGTGGTGTCTCCTGCCCTGAGGTTGGATCTGGCAGGCAGAACCTTCCACCCCCCAATCTCTTCCCTCCAGCCCACAGCAGCCACACTCTGGGCACCCCTTTACCTCACTCAGGCCCCTTTGCTCTCCCACCTGAGGGCCCAATTGCCCAGAAGGGCTGGGGTGTTCTGCCAGGGGTACTTGCCAGAGTGCAAGGCCAAGTTGGGCTTTGCCCTCCCTCCCAAGGGGTACCTTACCACCCAGACCCCAGACCCTGGGTGGAAGAAGCAGCAGACATCAGGGGATCCATCCCTTTCTGTGTACTGTCAGGGAAACTGAGGCCTAGAGAGGGGAGGGATTCAGCTAGGTGAGCAAGGAGCAGAGCTGGGTGATGGATCAGGACAACAGCAGCCGCTTTCCCTCTCTCTGCCTTTTCTCAGCAAACCCCCGATGCCTCCTATGCCCCCACCAATTGTCAGACACATCCTCGCCAGGGGCCAGCCTGAGACCCGGAGTAGCTGATTAGCCAGATATGTAAGCAGGCTAATAGATCATCCCTCCCTCTAAAGCAGGGGCATGTTAGGGAACTTTCTGGAAAGATGCCCAGCTTGCAGAGGTGAAGCCAGGCATGGAGAGGAGAGGAAGCAGAGTCCTGGGTCCTATGGAGGTCAGTCTTCTCAGTGCTGGCTCCTGGGTGCCAGCTGGGATGGGATTCCGGCCCTACCTCCTGCCCACTTGTTCTGGGGGTCCCCCACCCTTCTGACAAGCTCTGCTAGGACCCCAGCCCCTCCCTGGGCCAAAACCAGAACTAATCCAAAGAAGAGGCCTTGGCTCAAGGCCCACCCAGCACCAGCTTTGCACTGTCCAGTTGCCTAAAACCCACCCTGTGCTCCATTCAGGTCGCCGGAGCCTCAGGGGGGTCCTGCCTCTATCTAGGGCATGTCAGGGTCAGGCAGAGGCTGCCCAGGACAGGGGGTATAGGTACATACAGAGCACAGAGACACCTTCTCAGACTTCAGGAGAGTCCTGGGGGCTTGGAGACAAGTAGGTGGCACTTTCCATGCCATAGGGCCCCCCAGGGTACTGGAATGGTGAGCTGACTCTGTGCTCCAAGCTAGCGGGGGCTCAACCTGGGGCAAGACAGGACAGCCCCCACCCCCCTCTGATGGCATCTGCGTAGGATCACTGAGCACACCACCTGCCCCCATGGAGTCTATCCCCAGGCCTACTGCATCCCCAGAGGCCACAGCATGGCCCGCCTCACTGGCCTAGCACAGAGGTGGCCACCGGGTGGGATTGGTCAGTGACCTCCAGGAGGTCCAGGCTGTCCACACCCAGGTAACTCAGAGACCTGGCCTGGAGCTCCGCCAGCTTCAGGTGTGGTATCCAAGGTGGGGGCCGTGGCACTCTGGTGCTAGCTTTGCTTCCGTTGCTGGAGGCTCTGCCCACACTGGGCCTGTTTCCCCACCTGCCCCATGGTCAGTAAGGCAAGACTGTTGCAGCTTCCTCCCAGCTGCCAAGGAACTTTGAGTGGAGGGGGGTCATGCTGCCTTACCTTCCCAGAGCGTGCTGGTCAGGTGATGGGGCGTGGCTGGGTCAGCAGGGCCTCCAGGGTCCTCTTGGGCCCCTCCTAGGCCCCCCTCACTGTCGAGCTTTTGGCCTCTGCAGCCCCAGAAGAGGGCTGACCAAGCCCCCGGCAGAGGCCAGCGTGGGCATCTCAGACGGCTTGAGGCAGAGGGGCACCGGGAGCATGTGAGCCGGGCTGCAGGAAGGAAAGAGCGAAGCACGGATCAGGGGAGAAATGAGCTTCCTGTTTATCTCCCAGCACCGCTGGACTCAGGGACAGGATGGCTCTGTCAGCCACGGCTGGACCCAGCTTCATACCAGATGTGGCTGAACCTTCATCAGGGGACGGCCTAGCCCGGCCACTTATCCCAGTGAGGACTGGAAGGGAGGTGGCTGGGCTCCAGCATCCCTGGGCCAAGGGAGCTGTCTACACCTGAGTGGGGGCCAGGTCCCAAAGGGGACAAAGCTTGGTAGGGAGCATGGGGCCTGTCTGGGCTGCCTCGGGTCTTCAGCTCTCCCCTCCTCTCCCCTCCACCATCCCGAATGCCTGCCTCACCTGTCTGTTAGAAGCACCCCGTGCTGGGCACCCTGCAAGGCGCTCTCGGAACAGCCTTGTGATGAGAATTGCCCAAGTAACTGAGGCTCACAGGGGCAGATGCTTGTCCGGTGGGGGCCAGTGGGAAATGGAAGTCTTGGACGTGGAGTTCAGG